GCTAGAGGACTTCTCTCTGTAGGGCTATCAGCCCTGTACCTGTCACTAAATCCACTGTATAATTAAAAAAAAAAAGTGTGTGTGTGTGTGTCAGGGGAATCTCCCATGGAAATGAACAAGTATTGAAGAAATTAAAAACGACATGTTCTTTTTAGCTGTTAAAACCAATTGTTCAAATGTAACGTTAGATCTGGTTTATTTTAAATGTAATTTAAGTGCTGGGTAGAGCATAACAGCCCTACCTAGCATGGAACTCTGGAATCTGGAACTTTATAAATTTTAGATTTTTGGATCTATTTGAGCTGACAGAACCCTTGCGTATGTACTTATTGTGGCACAAGTTCAGCATGTATGTGCAGTCAGTATTTGTGGGGAAAATCCATGTGACATTTCTTTACCGAGCAGTGACTGCACGTGGGCTGTCGGTGCTTTGCAATGTTAAATATCGTATCCAGTTTAAATGTTTTAGATTTTAGCTGAGCCACGTTGCTCGCTGATCACTGAGCAAATGCCCGGTCTGGATTGGGCAAATCAAAGGCCAAATCCCACTTGCCTTATTCATGTATGCCCTCCTGTGGCCCCATCTTTCTGCTAAAGACCTGTAGATAGATTTACTCCCAGGCTCAAACTCTGTGGGCTCCCCACACCATGTATGTGAGAGGGATGCATGTGTTCACTGAGAGAGGAATGTGCCACTAGCTGAGCAAATGGATGACCAGATTGTCCCCTTCCATAAAGACATCTGTGGAAAGGAACCTGGACTTTGTTCCAAACTGTCTCATAGACTCATAGACTTTAAGGTCAGAAAGGACTATTATGATCATCTAGTCTGACCTCCTGCACAACGCAGGCCACAGAATCTCACCCACCCACTCCTGTAACAAACCCCTAACCTATGTCTGAGTTATTGAAGTCCTCAAATTGTCGTTTAAAGACCTCAAGGTGCAGCGAATCCTCCAGCAAGTGACCCAGGCCCCATGCTGCAGAGGAAGGCAAAAAACCTCTAGGGCCTCTGCCAATCTGCCCTGGAGGAAAATTCCTTCCTGACTCCAAATATGGCGATCACTTAAACCCTGAGCATGTGGGCAAGACTCACCAGCCAGCACCCAGGAAAGAATTATCTGTAGTAACTCAGATCCCACCCCATCTAACATCCCATCACAGACCATTGGGCATATTTACCTGCTAATAATCAAAGATCAATTAATTGCCAAAATTAGGCTATCCCATCATACCATCCCCTCCATAAAATTATCAAGCTTAGTTTTCAAGCCAGATATGTCTTTTGCCCCCACTGCTCCCCTTGGGAGGCTGTTCCAGAACTTCACTCCTCTAATGGTTAGAAACCTTTGTCTAATTTCAAATCTAAACTTCCTAATGTCCAGTTTATATCCATTTGTTCTTGTGTCCACATTGGTATTAAGCTTAAATAATTCCTCTCCCTCCCTGATATTTATCCCTCTGATATATTTATAAAGAGCAATCATATCTCCCCTCAGCCTTCTTTTGGTTAGGCTAAACAAGCCAAGCTCTTTGAGTCTCCTTTCATAAGGCAGGTTTTCCATTCCTCGGATCATCCTAGTAGCCCTTCTCTGTACCTGTTCCAGTTCCCTTTTCTGTCCCATCAGAGGATTGGTGCTTGGCCTTCTAAACCTTCATATATCGCGAGACCTACTGGGAAATGCCATGGGTCTTGGGCTGTCTGCACAGAGACACAGGGTCTCCACACCACTCCTCGGAACACTTAGCACCACAACTTCAGGACTCCTGTCCCATATAGTCCCTGCTGTTGGCTACCCTCAGTCCTCTGACTATGGCTCACTGTGTGCAGAATGGATCACCATTGTGGATGGGAACCCTTTGGACTTTTGGGTGAACAATGCCCAGGAGGGACAGCAGCGTCTTCCCAGCTTATCCCCTCCCAGGAAGTCTGAACTCCCAGGTGAGAGCACACTGTGTGGGGCTGCTGATATCTTCCTTTTGCTTCCCTCTAACTGTTTGAGCAGAGAAGCAGAAGCTGAAGGGACTATTTGGGCCTAGCAAATTTCTTGGTGCCAAGGTAACAGGAAGGTTATGATGGAAATGCAGTTCTGGCAGATGCTTAACTGCACCATTTTCCTGCCAAAAACTGTGGCAAAGGCACCCTTCTGTTACTCCTGAAGTTTTGTGACTAGAGACAGCCTATGAAACAAGTGTTTGCTGTGCCTGTTTCCCTTCCCCAAAATAGCAGCTTCTTTTCGAACATTATCACACCACATGGTGCAGGCGGACTAAGGGTTCTGGGGAGGGCAAATGAAATGGTTCTTTGGGATACACCCCAAAGGTAATTAATTCATTTTCCTTAACAGGCCATATCTTTAGCTAGTTGTAAATAAGCATAGCTCCATTAGCACCAGTGATCTAGCCCAAAATGTGTGTGTAGGTGGCAAGAGCAGTTTCCTACTGCAGATGCGGAGCCCACCTGTATTTTCCTTTCAACGCTAGCTGTCGTTTTACATCCGTTTACATTTTCAAGGCCATCTCTGCAAAAGAAAAGGGATAGACTCTTCCTTTCTAAAAACGAAGTGAAAGCTGAAATTTACATTTCTTGGCTGCCCAAATCAGGAAGGGTTCATGGGTAAGGGGGTTTGAGGGGCCTAAAGGCTGGTTCCACATACGGCTAACTCTTTTCCCCAGAGCGCAGCGTACTAATGACCATCTGTATTGTTGCATTTCTGAATCGGATTTTAATTATTAATACCACATAGCGAAATTTGGGGGATCTACAGTAACTGCCCATCAGGGGACAATAGTGCAAACACTCGCCTCGCAATGGTAATTGTAAGATAAGATGTATTTCTAGCAGACTTGCATTATTGAGCTCTTTCTAGAAATTTGATTGCATTTAATTAAAAATTATTGGTTTAAATCTATTCCATATGGTTTTTCTTTTACGTATTAAAATTAAAAAGTGAATCTTCTCATCTGTCAGTTTCAATGCCCCCCACCCAATCACAAACATTCAGAACGTGGTGGTTTCTGGATCATTATAATTCTATATCCTCTTCAAATTCTGTTAATTGAAACTTTAATGAAGATTTGCACTGGTTCATTCATCAAATACGTAGCCCTTCACCAATATACTGACAGATGCTAGCTACCAACACCATGTAGGTGAATATAGTGAGGACAGGAAGTGCCACATGTGTTACATATGTGCTATGTCAAAGAAGTCAGGGTCTAAGATGAGTGAAATAAGCATCATAATAAAAGTAGGCCAGGAATTTTAAATTAATAGCATCATGAGGTTTTCTGTGTCAGGGTTACTTCTCATATGATTCCATATTCTAAGGTTTAGGTCCCTTGAAGTCCATTTTAAGAAGCAACATTTTAACAATAAATATACTAACTATATATATATATATATATATATATATATATACATACACACACACAATATGTATAAATTACCCTGTTTTGAGATTAGACTATTCTGTTCTAATCCAGGGCATTATGTAACTGAACTATATTGTTTATCCATTTTGATAATCCATTTTGGGCATGGTCTTTTTCCATTTTGTACAGCTCTGAATACATGAATGAGGCTCAATAAAAACTCGTTAGCAACATGCACATCTCCGCTTCCCAAACAGACTTTTACTGAGAAAGGGGCTATTTAGGAATGCCCAATTTTCATTTCTCCGCTAGCAGCAGAAACAGCATACACAAAAAACAACATGAAATATCATGTTCAAGCCTTGACCGTGAGACTTCCTTGAACCAGTTCTGATTGGCTTTTCGCCTGGCAACAAATATGTCTAAGTCATAGCAATTTACGTAGTTCAATATTTTTACCTTAAAGAATAACCCAAAATGGGTGGTATGTCTCTGATACAAACAAATGGCCCAGTTTTCTCAATGGAAATGGAGTTGGTGAAAGGAAAATGACTAGCGGATCATTAGTGAGATCTGACTAACGTGAACTTCCCCATGCAGTTAATATTTTGATTTCCTGCCCCATGCAAAATGTGTGGGAGGAGGAGATTTGAAAATACACACTTAATGAAAAAGTGAAACATGAGTGTGAAACAGCTCGGGGGGGAAAGAATAAAAGGTACATTTAAAATGCGGTTGGAAGACTTCCATTTCATTCACCCCAGATTTTTCATTCAGTTGCTTTTCCTTTGTTTTCTCTGTTACCTGTTCTAACTGGAGCCAGTGGGTTAAATTCTCTTCTCCTTTACGCTAGTCTCACCCCATTGGCTTCAAGCTCTAATATGATTATAAAATGATAATAGGGAAGTTATGGTGGAATATCAAGGAGAAGACAGATGGTCCCAAATAGAGTTGCACCAGAACAAATAGTTAAAGCGAAGCTGAAAAATCACAAAATGCAACACATGCAGTTTCAGACAAACCATTTATGTAATTCATTCAGAAGTCAGAAGCTGCCAAAACTCCATAATGAAAGATTATAAAGCAATTTAATAAATTAATAGACTGTTCAGATTAGGTCCTGGTTTGCTTGGCATTTTTGGGTCCATATTTAATTGCTGTACTTTGAAGGATAAATTAAGTACACCATGTTGCATATGGAAATTGGCAAGAATGATGAAATGAAAGCAGAGAGTCCAGGACCCAGTAAGATAGTTTGTATCTGTAATAAATTCCATTCAAACAAGAACTCAGAAATATTGCTCATAAAAAAAATAGATCCACCAGAGTAAAATGATTATTTTTAAATGAACTTTGTTTGACTTATGTTCTCTACCCAGAGATGATCATCCAATTCCACTGGGTTTGTTAGGTATGTGTTTACAAAAAGAGTTTCAATACATCTTAATTTAGTCTCTTTTCACTGATAATGTTTTATCTTGTATTCTTCCAAACTCTTTCTTGAAAGCATTGCCTGAACAAGGAGAATAAGCCAAGCAAAACGGAGGATCTGCCTATGACACCTAACAGAGGAAGTCTTGATTGGTCAAGGCTAGCAGGTCTTACATAATAATTTACTACAGTACCTTTCTGTTTCCTGGTCTGTGGTTTGCTGCTTGTTCTCAAAGGCTGTGAAGCTGCTCATATCCACATAGCCGTCATTCTCATTCGCAGCAGATAATGCCCTACTGGGATCTTCAAAAAATTCTGTAAAAGTTCCTGCTCTGGTTGGTCTTCGAGGAGGAATTTGTATATTTTCATAATCAGAGCTCACAGCTGGAATGTTCTCATAGTCAGAAGTATCAGCATTAGGGAACGAAATAGACCTAGGTTTAGTTAAGGGGAGTGGCATGAAAGGAGGTCTGGATCGATCCTCAAAGGACTCCACTCTCGACACACTCCTGCTAAAGGTTTTGGGTATCCCCTTTCTTTTACCATCCTTGTAGAAAAGAACAGTAGAGGGAGACTCAGAAGCTCGCAGCTTCCCAGTATGGGACTTTAGCTGAGGTGAACTACTCAAGCTCCTTCTGTCCAGTTCCACAATCCTAGAAGTCCCGTGATAGCTAGACTCTGAAGAGGACCTTGAAGAGGAAACATTAACATCCACATGGACCTTATTTTCTGTCTTCTTCTTAAATTTTAGGGTGAGAAACCTCTTAAAAGATGATTTCTTTTTCTTAGTGTACTTATCAGGAGATTCGTTCTCTATTAAAAGTGAGGGGGAACTTTTAGTGATTGGCTTTTTGGTGATACAGGCTAGTTCAAAAGGAGGTGGTATGTCAACAACTGAGGATGGGGTGGACACACCACTTGATGAAAGGTGATTCCTCTGTGAAAAGCTACCTGAAGAACCAATTACACAGGGCAAAAAGAGGTTGTCTTCTGTCCTCTTTATTCTATTGTCATCCAATGTAGAGCCATCAGTTTCTCTGTAAACAGAGACTGGCATATCTCTCCCTTCTACCGAGTAAGACCGTGGGTATAAAATAAAGCGTCTTGACGTGGCTGGTAAGGCCCTATTGACTTCTATTGGTTTTCCTTCCAATAGCGGTAAGTTATTGGTTAAATATTCAGTCAGAGAGTCATTATTTGAGGACTGTACATCCGTTTCTGGTCCAGTTTCTTCTGGAACAGTTTCTGGCACATAGCCAGGCACTTTCCCAGAGAGTGACCTTGTTCTAGTGACCATACTTTTTCGATCAATGGATAGCAGGTTGTTTTCAGTGTCTACAATTAGTTCTTCTCTTATGCTGTAATCACATGGAATATCTTCTAATTCAGTCTGCACCACTTCTCTAACATGAGGGGTTGCATTCTCTGAGGGCATCACATAAGGATCATCTAGAGAATCACTGGTTGTTTCTCCTTCCTCAGGTACAACAACCACTTCAGGGACTGCTAAATACTCACTAGACTCATGTTCACTAGCACAGTCTGCTTTATATTTGCTTTGATCACATCTAGCTAATTCTTCTGCTGTATGGTATTTATCCTCAACTGATGCTTGTTCAGGTGGATTTGGGGAGCTTTCTTCAAAGCTACTATGACTGACCTTGTTGCCTTCAAGAACTTGCTCATCTGATTCAGATTCTTCCAAGACACATTCATTGTCACCACAATCTTCAACAAACACATTTGGTTTAGATTCCACTTCCAGCTCTGGCTCACTAACAGTTTGAGGACTAGAGAGCTGGCTATCATTACTCAAAAAAGTCCTTTCCAGTTGCAAATTATCATCTAAGTTTTCTTGGGGTGAGTCAATGACATCTTCATTGCATTCGCTCTCAAACGGAACAATTTGACAACTATCATCTATATTCTCTGCCTTCACCACTTCTTCCTCTTTTTCAGAGTCTTCTCTAGCCTCACATGTTGTCTTTGATGTTTCCTCCTCACTCTTCATCTCAATGGTTTGGTACCCATCATCTATATAGTCTTCCCTTTCCACATTTGTTTCTTTGTCATTATCTGGACATACTTCCTCTTCTTCAGCTGCAGCTTCATTGATAGAACCTCCCAAATCCTCTTCTGCGTCAGGTTCATTTTCTTTCAGTCCTAACCCAATGTCTGTTTCTTCTTCATCAACATCATCAGGAATTATATCAGGATTTGCACAATCATAATTTACTAATTCCGTTTCTGTACTCAGTACAAACTCTGCATTATCATCCAGGTCACCACTGTTTGCTGGACTCACTTCTGTGTCATTGTTTGATAGCTCATCTTCTAAAGTTTGGGGCAGTTCATCATTCTCTTCTGGTATTAGCTCATCATCTACAGGTAAATGTGTTAGAATAATGTCTTCACAGATATTGCCCTTCAAGTCCTCATCTCCATTCAAAATCTTACAGTTTTCCAGGTTATACTCATTATTGTCCTTTACCAGATCGAGGTTATTAAATGTTTCCTCAGCCTCACCTTTGAAGTAGTTTTGGGGGTCATCTACACAGTCCACTTCTTCATCCATATTCTTAGAAGCAACATCTTCTACTTCAAGGGCTCCTGAAGACACTTGACTAAGTGCTTCAGACCTGTCACAGCCTCTCATTTCCGTTGCTCCATCTGAGTCTGGGTCCACAGGTTCCACAGCATCTGAAGAGTCATTGTCCTCGGCTTCAGTTATTTCTGGATTACAGATCTCCTCGTCATTAGCTATGCTATGATCCTCTTCCTCCCCTGATGCTTCTGGAGTTTCTAAGACCTCATTCTCTGCAGATGACTCTAAACACTCGTCATGCGCATGTTCAAAGTCATCAGTCAGCTGAGCTTCAGGAACTACGATATATTCATCACCAGCCTCAGATTCCGAGCACTCAATGTTGCATTGATTTCCTTCATACAGCTCTCCATCGGGACATATCAGTTTTCCATTTGTGAATTTATTTAAGTTATTGTTGGTATGAACACTGGACCTCCCCTCAGTGTCAGCTGAGAGTTTTGGCTTGGGAGCAATGGGTGGTTTTGGACCCCTAGACATAGAGTTTGGATTATGAAGAATATCAGGCCTTGACAATGAAGGCGGAAATTTGGAGACAGCCACGGAAGAAAGATGACTGATAATCTTTGGTTTTGGTGCTAGTGGTGGTTTTGTGAAGTCTGGAAAAGAAACAAAGAAAAGCCATATTAGCAGTTTACCATCCTGGTTTCAACAAATATCTATTCACTGGTTTAATAGAAACATAGGGGCAGTGAAGCCACCAGAGAATCCACCCCAATTAACTTCATTTGTTTATAGTAATTTTGACTAGAATTGTAGTGCAGCTGGTCCATAGAGGAAAATGGTGGCAGGAAGCACTGACTACAACTCCCATGAAGCACTGCGGCCACTCAGGAGGACACAGTTTAATATCAGACTGAGCCAAACAGAAACCTATCAATACAGGAATGTCAAAATTTTTCATTTCAATCAGAAATGTAGAAACAATGTTTCAATATTTCCAAAATGAAATGTTGGGGTTTTGACCAAATGTTTTCAGTTTTTTGATGTTCAGATTTTCAATTAAAAATCAAAAGTTTCAGTGGAAAGAAGACACTTACAAATCTTTATTGGAACACCCAGTTCCATCATAAAACAGTCTTTCAACAGAAAAATTTTGACCAGTTCTAGTTTTAATCCATAAAAATGCAGTGCAAGCAATTTGTAGCAATGCTTTTATCTGTATTGTAGACTGCAAAACAAATCCACACTCAGTTTGTTCTGCCAGCAATTTAAATGTTAATTCAGACTTGTAAAACTGACATGAATGTTTACCAGCCCAAAGCACAAAATCTATTCTCCCACCTTTACTATGGTGACTGATAATGAAAAACTGAATGATATGTTACTTGCTGGTCAACTAATGTATTCACCCAAGGTGAAAGAATTTCTGAAGGGTTGGTTAAGTCTTTACATTAATTATGTAGCTGAGCTACAACACACTGAATGAAATCCTTGTACCCTAAAATGAGGAGAGGTAATTGGTGTCAACTTCAGTTCAGTTTTCAACATGTATAACTTCTTCAGTTGCTTCACTGTTCAGAAGACACAACAACAATGTAAATGACAAGCCCCCTTGGTAAGCAATTCTCTTTTATTTAAAGTACATTTTGGTGCTCATAAAAGTTGAACATGGATGGCCCTGGAAACTGAAGACTATGTTTTAGCTGCAGAAGAGCATAGGACACTGCAAGTTTTTTCCAGCCCACCAATACTGACGCCAGTATGTCAACCTGGGCTTGCTGGCCACCCACCTATAGGGTGAGGTGGTATTTAATTATCCATGTACATTCAGCCCTCAGGTGGTATACTGCCAACAAGAGAGCCATTTAATGGCAATTTGTGGTGAGTTTTGTGATGTAGAGACTCATCCATTACAAACTAGACTGAGACCCTCAGTTCAGGTCACACAGGCCACAGAATAGCCATCAGATGACCTGGGCAAGGCATGAAGCAGTGAGGTTGAGATGAAAGGCTCAATATCTCATCACCATTCATATGAGCTATCCAATCACCTTTCTCAAACAATTTAATTTACTAGTTCCATATCGGGGGGGGGGGGGGAATGTGTTCAGTACTAAGGTCCTATTGGTACTTTAAAAGCCTATTGTTAGGCTGTATTCATCCCAGCATATGCCCATGTATCCCTGGTGACAGAAAGTTTATTCAGAGAGGGGTTGGAGCGGTTCAGGGTATCTGCAACTTCCAGTCTTTTTTTTGGGGGGGGGGCTCTGAATTTGGGTATCAGAGCCCCCAAATGGGTGCCATTGACCATGCCAGGGTTCATGGCCAGTGTGACTAGCAGTTGCACTGATTCCTTTTCCTAGCACCACAGCTTAAAGCTGCCTTCCCTTGTGGAACTGCCCAGCAAGTTAGCAATGAACTGCAGTTTTGTAATACCCTGCACCTCTAGCATTTCATGGACACTTGCAACATTTTGTGACAAAAGAAGTTTTACCAAATGCAATTTTTTGGTGATGATTTTTAGAATGCTAAAAGCATTGTTTTGAAACACCTTAATCAGAGCCAAGAAAACCATCCTGATTAAAATCATCTTTCTATTGGGATTCCCACCAAACCCAAAGATATTCAGAAGCGAAACTGCAGGGCTGCAATATTAAAATTGTCAAATATTATCCTGCAACTTTTTGGATTCACCAAGATTTTTCTATATTAGTGTTAATGGCCTATGTGGGCTACAAAGCGTTAGGTCTCTTTGATACAATTTGTGGCAAGCTATGTGATTTGGGAAGTTTTCTACAGGGTATCACACACACTGCAGTCTTCTGAGGTGAAATGTCAGTTTCTTGCACTCTCTAGGTTTGCGTTTAACTATGCTGGTCATCTAGGTAAGCACCAGAATAAAGTGACTCAAGGATGGGGGATCTAGTCTGTTAATGAACAGCAGATACATCATTCACGCCAGTATGTGGACATGTCAGGAACACAAGCCAGAGATTTACAGATGCCCTGTTCCTCCCTGGAACAGGTTCAGCATGGAGAGCATTAGTGCAAGTTGCTATATAGCCCTGGCAAGATGTCTCATTTCTGTAATGGAGGAGCCACCTCAATGAGGGAGAGGGTAGGAGAGCATCTGTGCCCATTCTCCCCACTGCTCCCCGGTGACTGCCAATCAGGTGGTCAATCTGTGCGAGGTGTGGTGGTGGTCATCATGCCTGTGATGTAGACATATCTGCCCACTGCTACTGGACTTGAGACCCCAACTTGGGCCACTGAATAGCCAACAAATGGTGACAACTTTACCTCACAACCATCCTGGACTGGATTTGACCCAACAGCCTAAAACGGAAAGGCTCCTTATCCCATAGCCTCCATGGTGCCCCATTTTTAATCAAAAGTCATATGAATTATGAACTCAGAATACACTGATAACTCCAATCAACAAAATAATGTTTTGCTCACAAGTACGATCTCCCCAATTTCTGCAACCAAGTTTCTGTTTCTTAAAACACATGCATAAGTAAACATTGTTATTAGATAAAAGGTATATTTGGCTTATTGGATTTTCAGAGACATGACTGGAGTGTTTTTCTGAAATTCCTACCCTTGCTGCAATTGCTTCTAATATGTGGGTTGATGCTGTTGATTTGCATTCTTTGTTTTACTCAGAAACAATCTTCAAGCCACATCTTGAAGCCAGTGGGATTTAAGAACTGAGTTAAAACTGAGCAAAGCATCTCAGAATTTGCCCCAGAGAAATTAGAATTAGAATAAATTTGTTCATTAGGTCATCCATCCCAATCTCACAGAAACCAATGAAAAATTATTACAGTACATTCTCTAATGATTTGTCCTATCTAGTTTCCAGTTTCCCAAGGAGGAAACCCTATTCAAACAAAACTGCTGTTGCTGAGGTCATCAGATACATGTCTCCCGATCAGGAAGATCGAGGAGAAATCCTATCTAGAAGTCACATGTATAGCAGCAGGGTCTAGACTGCCAGTAGTTCTGGCTACTTTAAGATGAACTGGATGGATGTTACAGGAGTGCTCTATAATGATATATAGGTAAATAGTTAATAGATAAGGTGCCAGTAGATGGCACTCAGGAATATGTAGCATAGATCCTGAATCTGTAGAACTAATCAGACTTGTTATACAATGCAAATGGCTTCTGGCAGCTCTTTACATTGGCTTTTAAATGGGGAAATGCAAATGTAAAGGGCAAGGTCTCTGATGGTTGGGTAAAAGGAAGATGAGGAAATCCCAGCATTCTGCATGGGCAACTAGTGAAGGTCATTCAACACACTTATCCTTGCTTCAGCTGAGCCAGTTGCAAAGACACTGACCACTAAAACCAAGCACGATAAGGGAAGAAGAGTACAGTTACTGGATGCTAAGAAGGAAAGAAAAAAAGTCTAATCTCACTTAACTGTCAATGTTGGGCATTTTGATGTACTTTTAACATGCCACAAAATGCAACTAAATGTATAACAATGGTCTGATAACATATATGCTAGCTCTAGAAATATCATACGTAGCAAAAAAACTGAAATACATATATTCAAAGGTAAAATGACAATATGAGCATATCCTTATCAAACATTTACTGTAGTATTTGTAGCTTCCAGTGTCCAATCTCTATGAAGATTCCTTAATACCAAATCAGACGGTTGTTCTGAGGACAAAGGGAGTTGGGCTTCTGTTATTTCCATCTTTGTCTTCAGTATCTGCATCAGAGATGCTCCTCTGCTTAGTAGTCAGAGTATAGCATCCTGCAGGTGCTTACCTCCTCAAGCTCCAGAAATGAATTCAATCAACACATTCTGCAACTGGCAAGTGGTATCTTTAAATGAGTCTAAAAATAAAAATCCACTGATTGGATTATTTCAGCTAAATGATGGTCATTTTATTCACTTTAGGAATCTGCTACACCAGTGATTCCATTAATAAAAGAGAACTTTTTCTTTCCACAAATCAGATGGTCTCTGGAGAATCTCAGCATGTTGAGGGTCCATCAGCAGACAGAGGAAATCATTCTTCACCTTTATCGCTCCCCCATCATTAGCTGGGCTGGAGACTTGGGTGCAGAGTGAGAGATGACAGCTCAAAAAACAAGAGAGAGACAACTTCTCTGCCTCTCAACTGATCCTGAGACCTTTCTTCCAGTCCTCTACCTCCTTAGTTTTCATTTGAGATATCTGCGGCTCAAAGGTAGCAGTCAACTGTGTGGCCAGTTGTTCTGAAGGAGCTAGACATTCCAGGCCAAGCACAAAGCACACATGTTGAAGGAGATATCTTGCCTCAATGAATTTGAAGAGAAATACCAATGTATGGGGGAAATAAGAGAGGCTTAAAGCAGGTGTGCAGTAAGAAGAGAAAGCTATATAATCTCACAGTCTCCAATACAGTTGTTTTCTCCCTCTCCACACCATCTTCTGCTGCTACTAATCAGGTTGTATGACTAATAATGTCTTAAATTTTATAGACCACTGTTCACTCCAAAGCACTTTACAAACTTTTTGGAATGAAATAATTTTACACCGCCAAAGCAACCACTCCATGCATCGTTTCGGCACAGGAAGTAAATAATACTGTACCCAGCTGAAAATGAAGGGACACAGAATGTATCTGAATCTGGCCAGGGAACCAGGATTTTT